TCCCCGTAAGCCCTGCCGGGCACTGGCAGCCAGCTTCACCTGAATGAATCTACAGCACCATCTGGTGGCAACTGGGTGCCAGGGCTTCCTGGGAGTCAAAGCCAGGAGAATCCTCAGCCAAGAGGGGTCCAGTAGTACAGGGAGTGGGGATGTGGGTCAAAGGATGATCTGAGGGTCAGGGATCGGGTGAATTTATGCATTCATACGTTGCCTAAGAGCTACAAGGGCCCTAACTGGTTTGGCATAGTGGATAGAGCGTCGGCCTGCGGACTGAAAGGTCCCAGGTTTGATTCCAATCAAGGGCATGTACCTTGGCTGCGGGCACATCTCCAGTAGGGGGTGTGCAGGAGGCAGCTGATCGATGTTTCTAACTCTCTATCTCTTTCCCTTTCTCTCTGTAAAAAATCAATAAAAATATATATATATTTTTTAAAAAGAGCTTAGAGGTCCAGAGGGCATTGAAACAAACAATTTCAGAGAAAAAAAGTGACCAACGCTCACATCCAGGATGAAAATCTACATCTGCTGACTCCCAGTCCAGTCTTCTTTCAACATATCTTTTATTTATTTTTATTTTTACTTTTTAAAAATTTTCTAACTTGTCTTAGGTTTCTTTTCTTTTAAAAAAATATTTTTATTGATTTCAGAGAGGGCAAGGGGGAGAGAGATAGAAACATCAGTGATGAGAGAGAATCATTGATTGGCTGCCTCCTGCACGACCCCTACTTGGGAATCAAGCCCGAAACCTAGGCATGTGCCTTTGACCAGAATCAAACCCGGGACCCTTCAATCCACAGGCTGATGCTCTATCCACTGAGCCAAACCAGCTAGGGCTCAACATATCTTTTAATTCAAAAGGTGCTTATGAACGCTCTACCAGTGCCTAGCATTGTGTTAGGCTCTGAGGACAAAGGTAAGGGACTAAAACAATAATAATTACTTCATTGAGAACTTTGTCATATGTGTTGGGTGTTTTACTTATTTTACTCAATCCTCATAACAACCAGGAGTCCTGTTTCCATTTTAATGGATAAAGACACTAAAGACAGGGAAAGTTAACTTGCCCAAGGTCACATTGCTGGGAAGTGGCTAAGCTGGGATTGGCTGAAGGGAGCCAAGGGTCAAGGGATGGGGACAACCAGAGAGATCCAAGCAGAGGGTCTCACTCAGTCCACACACACTGAGGCCCTCCTGGGCAAGCACTGTGCTAGGCCAGGGAGTGGGAGAATGAGTAAGGTGAATATATCAAACAATAGGATATAGCCCTTGCCTGTCTGCAGCTCATCATCTGCTTGGGGAGGCAGGACATGAGCTGGATGAAATTAAGACGTATTAGATATGCAGAAACTTGCTTTTGTTAGGCAGCATTGAGTTCAAATCAGAGTTCTGTCATTTCCTAGCTGTGTGACCTTGGGAAAGTCACTCCATCTCTCTGGCTCTCAACTTCTTCAACTATAAGATGGAGATGAAAAATTGCTCGTACTTCATAGGGCTATTGGGAAGATCACACAAGGCACATTGTGTAAAACACTCACCTGTTTAATAAGTGGCCCCATCACACCTATTAATAGTAGTACAAGGTCACTTGGTCATGTCACTTTCACAGCACAAGTCATTTCTTTACTAAAAAAATCTTTAGTGACTCTCTGTCCATGAATTAGGTTTGAATTTTTAGCCCTACATCCAAGGCTCTCAGGAAAATAGATGCTAATGACCTTTATAGCTCACCTTCATCTTCTCTTTTCTTTTCATTTTAGCCACTCCAGCTTGCTCCAAATTAGTCCTGTTTCGTCCTTACTCTCCTTACATTTATTCCTTCATTTGCTCAATAAGTATTAAATATTAAGCATCTATTATGTTCCAGGCACTGTTCTAGGTGCTAGGAGTAGACAGGTAAATAAGACAAACAAAAATTCATGACTTCATGGAGGTCATATTTCTAGTAGGAGAGAGGTAGGCCTTTTTTTTTTTTTTTAAGTATGGTATGTCAGATGGTGATAAGTTGTGTGAAGAAAAAAATGAGCAGGGGAGAGGAATAGGAATGCTGGGGGTGCATGTTACAGTTTTAAATAATTTGAGGAGAGGGCTGGGAATTTTCAAGGAACATCAAAATGGCCAGTATTGCTGGAGCAGAGATACTAAGGAAGCCACAGTTCACCGTCAGATCAACCATGTAAGGCCATAAAGGAGTTTGCGAGAACTTACTGGCATTTCCTCTCAGTGAAATAAGGCATTAGAGAATTTTGAGCAGAGGAGAAGGGTTGTGATCTTACTTACATATATATTTTTTTATTTTGGTAAAATATACATAATATAAACTATTTTCTTTTTTAATATATTTTTATTGATTTCAGAGAGGAAGGGAGAGAGAGATGATGAGAGAGAATCATTGATCGGCTGCCTCCTACACGCCCTATACCGGGGATCGAGCCCGAAACCTAGACATGTGCCCTTGACCGGAATCGAACCCGAGACCCTTCAGTCTGCAGGCCAACGTTCTATCCACTGAGCCAGACCATCAAGGGCTAAACTATTTTCAAGTGTACAGTTCAGTGGCACTAAGTACATCCACATTGTTGTGCAACCATCACAACCCTCCGTCTCCAGAATTGTTCATCTACCAAAGTTAACCTCTGTACTCATTTCCTCAGCCTCTGAGCCCCTGGTAACCTTTTTACTTTCTATGAATTTGACTACTCTAGGTACCTCATATAAATGGATTCATACAGTATTTGTCCTTTTGTGACTGGCTTATTTCACTGGGCATAATGTCTTCAAGGCTCATCCATGATGTAACATGTGTAAGCGTTTCCTTTTTAAGACTCGATAATATTCCATTGTATTATATACCACATTTTGTTTATCCATCCCCTGTCAATGGACACATGGGTAGCTTCCACCCCTTGGCTACTGTGAATAATGCAGCTATGAACATGGGTGTGCAAATATCTGTGGGAGCTCCTGCTTTCAATGTTTTTTAGTGTATACCTGCAAGTAGAATGGCTAGATCACATGGTCATTGTTTTTTAGAACCATCACCATACTGTTTTCCATAGAAGCCGCACCATCTTAAGTTGTTTAAAAGATTACTTTCAGAATGAATTAAGACTAGACTATAGGAGGGCAAGAGTGGACACGGAGGTACCAGTTAAGAGGCTCTTGCCTTTATCCAAGTGAAAGATAACGGCCGCTTGGACCTACTATACCTAGTAGCAGGGGATGTGGTGAGACATGACTGGATTCTGGTTTTGTTTTCATGGTGGAGCCAACTACATTTGCCGAGGAATTAGCTTTTGAGTACGAAGAAAATGTCTCCCAAGTTTTGGGCTTGAGTAACTGGAGGGATGAGGTTGCTATTTGCAGCGTTGGGGAAGTTTGCATTAAGTTGAGGTGAACACAGCAGGAGTTTTGGGGGCATGTTAAGTTTAATATGTTGATTTTACAATCAATTAGAGATCAAGATCTTGGGGTTCAGAGATGTATGGGGTGGAGAGAAAAGTTGAGAGTCCCTGGTGTGTAGCTGACATTTAAAATCATGAGACTTGATAAGATCATCTGAGGAATAATATAGACATCAAAAAGGAGAGGGTCGAGGACAGAGAACTGGGACACTCCAGCAAAATCAGGAGTGAAGACAACATTTGAAGGAGAGGGAAAGTGATCAACTGCGTTAGATAAGATGATGATTGTTCAAGTAAGATGAGAATTGACAATTGGCCCTTGTTCTTGGCATCCTAACAAACGTTAAAGGACTGTGGGGAGGGAAAACCCGAAGTGAGTCAAGAGAGAATGGGAGGGGCGGGGCGGGGAACTGGAGGCGGTGAGGATGGCCGAGTCTTTCAGAAGTTTGCTGTAAAGGGGAGTAGGGAAATGCTGGCGGGTCAAGAGAGGGTTGGTTTTTGTTTGCTTGCTTTTGGCCCTTGTTCTTGGCATCCTAACAAACGTTAAAGGACTGTGGGGAGGGAAAACCCGAAGTGAGTCAAGAGAGAATGGGAGGGGCGGGGCGGGGAACTGGAGGCGGTGAGGATGGCCGAGTCTTTCAGAAGTTTGCTGTAAAGGGGAGTAGGGAAATGCTGGCGGGTCAAGAGAGGGTTGGTTTTTGTTTGTTTGCTTGCTTTAAAGATGGGAGAAGGAACAGCATATGTGACGACAGGAATAATCCCATAATGAGGGAAAAGGGAGTGGGAGTGGCAGGAACTGTACAGCTATGCCCTGAAACAGACCAGAGGGATGGGATCTAGTGCAAAGTATGTGGTCCCCTTCCCATTCATTCTCATTCTCATTCATTCTCTCTGTCTCCCTCCCTCCCTCCCTCGCCCTCAACACCTTCAACTTCCCTTCTCCACGCTCTCTGCATTTTCCTAACCACATCCACTGGAGTGGAGGTGTTTTGAGTCAGGCCGTCAAGAGTTGAGTTACTCGTGTCTCCCGATCTCTTGAGAGCCCCTCTAGAGGCTGCATGTTAAGTCACCTCTGAATTTTTCTCCACGACCCTCCAATCCCTGGCCCAGAGCCTCCCCACCCCCCACCCCCGTCTGCTCTCGCTGAATCAGCCCGAAGAGCCCCCAAACGGCGACTACGCGGCTGGTTTCACAAAGGGGGGCGGTCCTAGCGCTGCGCTCTGGGATCCAAACGTTCGGGCCCCGGCCGGGCTCGCTCCCGCGGGGCTCGCTCCCCTCCCCGCCTCCACTCCCAGCTTCCCACGACTACGCTGAGGGCCCACCAAGGCCCATGCGGCCACCGTAGGGGACTATGGCTGAGACCCGCAAAGATTCGAGGTCGGTGGGGGCGGGGCTAACGCTGGGCCTTAAGACAGAACTGAGGATTGGACCCAGCATTCGGGGGCGGGGTTTAAGGGAGAACTCTGGATAGAGAATGGGCCAAGCTCAAGGAGGCGGGGCCTGGTTATAAAGCGGGGCGGCGATTGGCCTGAGGGTGGTGTCCGCGCGAGGATTGGGTCGAGTGCTCCGGGGCGGTGCTTAAGGGGGCGGTGCCGTGTCGGAAGTCAAAGGTCGGTAAATAGTGGTGATGTCATGCAGGCAAGATGGCGGAAGGGTGAGCCCGTCATCCTGCTCTCGGGCGTTGGGGCCCGAATTCTCCCAGGGTTGGGGTGCTGGGCCAGGGTCCCCGTGGAGAACAGGAGGCCAGCGTGGCGGTGGACGCGGCTGGAAAGGCGGGGTGGAGTCGCAATGTGAGGGGGTGGGGAAGCGGTCTGAAGCCTCAGCCCCCGGGGTCCCATCTGGGGGGAAACTGAGGCCGGATCGCTCGTACTGCGGGGCTGCCAGCTGTCTCTGTCTCCCACAGGGAGGACGTGGGATGGTGGCGGAGCTGGTTGCAGCAGAGCTACCAGGCGGTCAAGGAAAAGGTAAGCCGGGCCGGCTCCCTTCCTCCTCCAGGGCCCCGCACCGCTCAGTACAGCTTGGGCGGCCCCGCCGGCCCTCGGCGATGAGAAGGACTCTCTCCCTGCTTCTCGCCCCTCTCGGGCTCCGGAAAGACCGATCCCGACTTAGACCCGTGGGACACTAGCCACAGTGAAGGAAAGACTTTAAAGGCCGCGGCGCCCCTCGCGTGGGAATCCATAGGAAGGAGAAATGTACAACTTCCTAGAAGAGGAAACATGTAATGTGGGTCTTAAAGGGTTCTAGCAATAGAAACTTAGTCCTTTAGTCATTGGAATATTGGCGAATGTGCCACAGCCAGCGCTCTCTACAGGCCCTGAGATACCGATATTAGCCAAACAGATGCATCCCCGGCCCACGGAGCTCGCCGTCCGGTGGGATGAGTGAGACTTGGCTCCACCGATGAGAAGTGCCACCGTGTGCTTGTTTCATTCCACGCTCGCCTGGCAGCCCGAACCCGAATGAACTGTGGGAATAGCAACTGGGATGAGTGCTGCTTCAGAGCATCCTCCCGGAGGCTCTGCCCTCGGTTGAAGCGGCCCTTTACTCTGGGAGCATCTCTGTCCTCCCCTGGCCTGTGTCCTCCTCTCAGCTCCAGGTCAGCAAGTCTGAGGCTGCCCCGAGCTGTTTGGGTTTTGAGGAGGACCGGGAAAGAGAATGTCACACGGAGGTTTAATAGGAGAGACCTCCACGTAGCTTGGTTCCTGTTGCTCAGTCTCCTGACGTTCATTTACAAACACATTTGAAGGCCGCCTGTGTGTTTCGCTCAAGGTTGGTCTCCCATACTCACGAAAAATAGGTAGATTAGCTCTCCATCTTTGTTCTTGGAGAACACTCATTTGAAAATTGTGTGTGTGTGTGTGTGTGTGTGTGTGTTGTTGTTGTTGTTGTTTCTGCCTTTAACAATGCCCCATTCCTAAAGAGAAGAATGAGTTAATTTCTGTCTCTTAGCTACTTACTGTTATATGAACCTGGGCAAGTTACTTAACCTCTTTAGGCCTTGGCTCCTCATCTTTACTTTTTAAAAAATATGTTTTAGCCCTAGCCGGCTTGGCTCAATGGATAAAGCGTCAGCCTGCAGACTGAAGGGCCCCAGGTTCAATTCCGGCCAAGGGCACATGCCGAGGTTGCAGGCTCAATCTCCAGTGGTGGGTGTGCAGGAGGCAGCCGATCAATGATTCTCTCATCATTGATGTTTCTCTCTCTCTCTCCTCCCTTCATCATTAATGTTTCTATCTCTCTCTCCTCCCTTTCTCTCTGAAATCAATAAAGAAATATATTTTTAAAAATGTTTTTATTGATTTTAGAGAGAGAAAAAGGGAGAGGGATAGAGAGATAGAAGCATTGATAAGAGATAGGCTGCCTCCTGCACGCCCCCTATTGGGAGGTCGAGCCCACAACCCGGGCATGTGCCCTGACTGGGAATCAAACCAATAACCTCTTGGTTCTTGGATTGATGCTCAACCCCTGAGGCCCCCGGGTCCGTTTTTTCTTAGTCTTTCTGTGCTTTCCTGGCCTTCCTGCCTTCCTTTCTATCCTGGCTCCATTTGGACCACTCAGTTCCCAGCACCCTCAGTTCTCTTATACCCCATGGCACAAATTGCCCCAAAGACTATTGCTCTGAGATGGTGCTATATATAATCTGCCTCCCTCTGCTCCTTACTTCCTGTACTGTGTGGTGTGTGTGTGTGAGCTTTCCCACAGATACTGGTCGAGAAAGTCACATTGCTCTTCTGCCACAGATTCCCAAACTCATCTGAGCCTGAATGCCCCCCAGCAACTTTTTCAATCTCTAATTTGCTTCTTCTCCCCTTGCCTTTAGAAACTTTCCTCAAACCTAACACCTCCCTGAAGTTCCCTGTTAAGTCACTTCCTCTTTTACTTCCAGGAGACAACCTGAGC